GTGTAGGGAGAGAAACGTGAAATAAAAGGTGTGAAATAAATATTTTTACGGGTCTAGCTTACAAAAAACATCATTATTTATGTTTTTTTTTAATATAGGAGTAACTATTAGTGACAATAATTATGTTATCTATCTATCACTATGTTTGGTAGTCTAAAAATTAATAGACGAGAAATGAGAGGGAAAGTTTGAAAATGAGTGAATTAAAATAAATATGTGAGTTTGATAGATAAGAAAGGGAGATTAGAGATAAAAAGGTGTGAATTTCATCACATTTTATTTATTTTCACGCTTAACTCAGGAGAAATAGTAAAAGAAATTTGCTCTACAATAATGTATTTAATAAACCCTCATTCATTTGAATAAGTTACATTCGTTTTTTAAAAACACGATCAAACATATTCGAATTAACATGTTTTTCACGTATAGATTAAAATTTTAATTTAATTGATTAAAATAAAAATAATTATTAAAAATCAAAATATTTTTTATTTTTTATTTTTTCTTCCTTTCTTAGTTTTCTTTTTTATTTTTATATACTTTATTTCTCAAATTTTTATTTTTATTTTCTTTTTGATTATTTTTACTCTATTTTTTTAAATTTATTTTATATATCTTATTTCTCACTTATTTCTTTTCATCTTATTAAATATATATAATATTTGTTTTCACCTATTTTTCATCTACTCCTCTTAAATCAGATAATCAAATTTTTATTATATTTCTTATATATTTTTACTTACTTATTTATCTTTCATCTATTTTTTCATTTTATTTCTCACATATTTATTTTCTCGTAATGGACACAGTATATGCCTCTAGCGAATATCCGACAGGTAAAAACAGCAAGCTAAGGGGTTCTTTCGTTGAATTTCTTTATGACATTAAATAATTAATTTTATAGGCACAAGAACTAATGCTATATAATCCTTTCAGGAAAGTTACAGTTGTTCTTGTTGGAGGAAGTTCCTAACTTGCTGCCTTTAGCACAGGCACGTGGAAGGCACACAATTTTTGGAGTACACAATATGAAAGCTGAAAATTGTGAATGAATGAATTGGTTTGCAAATTTCACGAGAACAGAAAGATATTATCACAAGACACAAAAGTCTTACAACTTCATGTCTTGTTCACTTTGGCAATTACAAATTAATATAAGCAGTATAGATGACTGAGTTATTTATAGTGTAACAAAATGGAGAAACTCTTTTTTATTTATTTATTTTGTGGTGAGAGACTCTCTTTTATGTTGGTTATATATATTGATCAATGATCATTGAGTAAACACGTTTTAGGAAGTTGTTGCGTGCATATCATCATTGATATTATCATCCTTCTTGTGAAACATAAATCATATCAAACATACACTTGATAGTATGTGTGTAAATCAGAATATCAAATCCTTATACTCATGTTAAATGAGTTCCATCAAAAATGTAATTTTTCTTTTTAAGAATGAAGGTACTCTTAAGAACAATAAACAAAAATTCTTAACACAAGTTTTCAAAATTTTACCAATTAGAATACAGTAAATAATAATTATTTAAATAAAAAAACTCACCCCTTAATGAATCTGAACACAAAAGAATTGAATAATAAAATCTAGACTAAAATAAATAGTATTTTCAATCCTTAATTAAGTTAATATAGATTAATTGAACTAATGTACAATAAGAAAGAGTCTTAAAAGTTAAGTAGAAGTTATTTAAGACATAACACTAAATCAAGACACATATATAACTAATAGATTAATTAGTCATGAAGTCTTAAAACTAATTAATAAGTAATCTAGTTAATTGAATTAATCAAGCATTAGATTCATACAAGGAGGTTAACTAGTAATGCCAGTAAAAAACAACTAGTATAAATAAGGGTTAACTTAATTATGAAAAGAAATTGGAACTAATCTTTAATTTGATTTATTTAGTAGTTTAGAAATAAGGTTAAAATTATATTAGAAAGCCAAAAAGAGTCAAAAGAAGAGATTTAGTCAACTCATTAATGACATATTAGTAAATTTTAAGAACTATGTTAAGTAAGTTTAAAAGTAGATTAAGAGTTCTTAGGGTACAATTAATATTTATGGAACTTAATTAACACTTAAATTAAGTTAATTAAATATATGATTAAACTAAATATGGATTTAATTCATTAAATATTAATTTTAAAACTAATTGTAGTAGATGGTTATGCAACATCGTGGATGTGATGACTTTGAGAGAAAAGAATGGAAAATTTCATTCACCTTTATTTGAAAAGTATGATGAACAATGTAGTTTGTTCGTGTTGCACTTGATGGGCTATTATGGAATAAAAAGAAACGAATGTGCAAATGTATTCATGTGCAAACCCTAGTGAAAGAGACAAGAGTTATGGGAGGCATTTAGAGGCATGTGTGTTATAGTTGTAGATTGAACTTATGTACTTTGATTTATTGATTTTGGGAGATGAAGTTGTGAGCTTCTATTCATATTTGCATAACCTCTAGCTACCCCGTGTACCTTTGGAAAACACAGCTTCGCCTGAGCCTTAAAAAATATCGTGTCTAACAATGTCCTTGAAAGGAGAATATGGATGGCCACAAAAGGTACTTGAAGTATGCTCATTGGCTTTGGATCCTTGGGGATAATAAGGTGTCAAGTTGTGGAGACTTAGTGTGGCTGAAGAATTCACATATGCCGACTTGGCAAGTCCTAACAAATGTGAGGCATAACTATGATTGGTGAGAGCATCTATGTCATGTATCAAGAAAGAACGTTTCATCCTAATCGTCGGCCCAATCGGTGAAGTTTATGCTATATATACTAAAATACGCATTAGTACTCTTGAGTGACAACTCTAGAAAACCATAGCGTGGTGGTATATAAGATTATTGTGGAACTTGTAAGTTCATTTTGTATGTGACATTACCAAGGATAGAAGAAAACTCACTCCATAAATTTATTTTTCATTGGATGATGGATTGTGGTTGACTACCTTTTTAAAGTATTCAATGATTTAACAGTGATACAAATTGGAGAGCTATTGTTGATGAAGAGATTAATGAAAATCCCTTAAAGGGATCAACTTAGGTGTTTAGAGGTTTAGGTATAACATTATTGGGTATGTTGTACAAAGTTGACTGCTCTAAATCTTATACTTTTTTATTTTGTATTTGATATAGGTACTATAGTATCTCAATATTTTACATTTATTAGTCATTGGTGTATTTCACAAAGGATTTGTGTTTTTTTATGTTGATTTGTATATAGTTAATTATGAGATATGGAGGTCCTTGTTAAACTATATATTTGTATCTTATGACTTCAATGCATTTATTGTTTTTTATGTATGAGATATTTTATACTTGTGTTATCGACACAATATATAACTTGTAAATAGATTTATAATGATATTTAATTGATGTAAATTAATACTATTATTAGTAAAAGTGTTTTATGCATATAAAACAAGAGGAAATTAATTGTATGCAGGCAAAAGTAAATGAAGAAGGTTCTAATTAAATGGAAAACTTAAAAATTTTATTAAAAAAATATTTTTAACTTAAAAAATATGAATTAAGATATCCTTAATTAAATATAAATTAAAAATATTAATGATATATAATAAAAATATACATGTGCATTGTAGATTAGAGTGTCCCACAAGTTAGTATGTTAAGAAACGAGTCAAAATTTCTTTCACAAATCAAAAAACTAATTATTTATATGTTGAACTTATGAGAGCATGAAGCATAATCAAACTAAATCCATGTTGACTTAAAATTCAATAAAACCACAAAAAAAATGATGACATTTTTATTGGATCAAGCTAGGATCATTGCTTGATACATTAAAGGCCAAAAAGTTAATTTGGGCCCACAAGACTCTATTACACAAAACCAAAAAAATGCAAAAATAAACCCCTGTAGCTAAATACAAAGAAAAATAAAAATAAAAAATACAAAGAAAAAGTTTCTTAATAAAAAACTAGACTCCTTCAAAAATTATTGTGTTCTCGATTTCTATCATATATTTGTCACGGAATTCAATTTTTCAATTCCCAATGTGGTTGCATCATGTCCAACTTCATTATCCCTAAAATAAACTTATTATATACAGAGAGAAGAGGTTTCCTTA